TCCAAAGCCCGTAATTTCAGCACATATCAGTAGAGAGGAACCAAAAGTGAACTAGATTTGCAACTCATCATAGTAGACTGACATACTAAAAATTCATAAGGTTTCTGCAGAACCCTGTGACATGCCTGTGATTGCTGCTGTCAGTGTAAAAGTGTAATGCTGACTTAAAAGGTGAGTCCATTTATCAGTAAATACAAAATTTAAAAAAAAAATCCAACTTTTTCTTTAGATGCTTTTTCATGGTCTTGAAGATTAGCTTTTTTCCAAGTTTCATTACAATCAATCAAGGTTTACAAATTCATCATGTCAAAATAGGTTTAATCCCAGACTGTCTGTAAATGTTAACTGTAAAAAACTAAGTCCTTCTATCAAAAAAATTCTGAAAATGAAAAAGACATATTTTCAAAAGTTTGCTTAAGACATTATCTCTTAATCATAAAAAAGCTTCTGCCAAAGTTTCAAAAAATTCTACGAAGGTTTGACAAAATAATTGATGTGTAACAAACTTTAACCCCAGACTGTATCTATTCAATAAATCACTACAAACCAGTAAAAGTCTGAAATGGCCTATATCTGTACTCGACTGTACTGATTTTTACTCCAGTCTGAATTGGCCTGAAATTTACTTGATAATAATCGACTGTAGTCTGAACCATACTTAATAGTCTGAACTTGTACTCTATCCTTACTCGACCAGTACTTAACCATTTAATACGCGTCTGAACCATGCTCGACCTAGTCTGAACCATGCTCGACCTAGTCTGAACCATACTCGACCTAGTCTGAACCATACTCGACCTAGTCTGAACCATACTCGACCAAGTCTTAACCAACCTAGACCTATTTTTTGTATCTATCTATTGTATTTCATTAATTTATATCACCTTTAAGATAAAAATAAAACAAGCTGATCAAATAATCTCAAAACTGAATTGTGACTTATATTTTCAATGTTATTCAAATTTTTTTGAATGTTTCAGATATATTTTATGGTTACTGGACAATTTTCACCATTAACTAAAGCCTCTTATAGATTTATGGTGTCAGTTGAGTTTAGTCAATAATGCAGTGAACATTTTTTTTATTAAAATATATATAAAATATAATAAAAAGCAACATAATAAATTTAAAAAATGACACCTTTGTTTTGTTAAACCAAGAATTTAATATAATCATGATAATAGAACTTCCACAGTAATCCTGTGATAAACTTTTAAAAAAGGAAATGTGTTCCAAAATTACAGTAAAAATTTATTTGAATTAAATTTAAAATAATTTTTGTCAAAATTAAAGACATGGCATACAAGAAGCACTTTAATAAGGTTTAATTACCTCAGTACATGTGTGTTTTACAGGTAAAAAGAAAGCCCTATTTTTCTTAAACTCGTGTATTACTTATCTAGTGAATTCAAAAGGCCTTGCGATATATTTCTAAAATAAGGTCAAACAATTCAGTGATATTGTTGGCTGTTGTTACCTCATTAAAAAGATAATTATATAACTATTGTACATTTTTTGTATGTAACCATGAAACCTATGTAGTTTTTATTAAGGAATTTAGGAAAATTAATTTAAAAAAAAAAACACATGCCAAACAAGAAGCACCTAAAATATTTCAAGATCTTTCTCTTATATATTCAAACAATTGTCAACAAATTATTTGTGACTTTTTGTCCTATCAAATTTGTGAATTTTTGTCCTGTGACTTTCTGTCTGTTTACCAGGTTTAATTACACTCAGTACAGGTGTGGTTTTTAGGTAAAAGAAAATCTTTTTTTAACAAAAATCTAAAACTTTAAAATTAATATAACTAAATTATTATATAAGATAATTTGATTTAACTATCTCTATTCCATAAATCTGACAATCATGTAAGAATGTAAAAATCTGTTTTTATAATATATCTTTATTTTATTGTGGCTGTTGTCATGTCAGTTAAAAAGAAATTTATTTTAACAGTTAAAACTTAGAAAAAAGTAGAGGTTATTTGGTCCAGTATGGTTCAGACTGGTCGAGTATTGTTCAGACCTTTGGTCAAGTATGGTTTAGACTGAAAAAAATAGGTCGAGTACAGGTCGAGAATGGGTTAAGACTGTTTGAGACTGGTAGAGTAATAGTTCAGACTATTTTCAATAGCAAAGATAAGGGTCAAGTACAAATCAGTACAGTCGAGTATGGTAAAGACTGGGGTCGAGTAATGTCGAGTAAAATTCAGACCAATTCAGACTGGTCGAGTAAAAATCAGTACAGTCGAGTACAGATATAGGCCATTTCAGACTTTAAAAAAAAAATAAGTCCATTTATCAGTAACATACGGAAATGAAAATAAATATTTTCAAAATTTTGCTCTGGATACTGTATTTTGGTAATAAACAAGCTTCTGTCCAAATTTTCTAAAATTCCATGAAGGTTTGACAAAGTCATTGATGTCTTAAAAGAAACTTTAATCATAGACTGAACCTTAAAATCTAAGATCACTATGTCTCGCTTTCGCAACATAAATGTTGCAGGCTCAACAAAAATCAGCTCAATATGTGAAGGCATTTAGAAAAAAAGTCGGTATAACTGTTCGTTGCGGAATGACAGAATGACGGAATAATGGAATGACACACAAAGGTAATACAATATGGCCCCGACCTAAGTCGGCAGGGCCATAAAAAGGTAAGGTCATTAAGGAGTCAATAAGGACCTAAAATTCCAAAAGGTTTTGCTAATTACAGCTATATATATATATATATGGTAATTATTAACCTCTCTGTTACTTGGCTGATGAATACAACAGTTCATAACATTTACCTCTCTGTAACTCTGCTTATGAATACAGCAATTCACAATATGTATCTCTCTGTAACTCGTCTAATGAATAAAAAAATTCATAACATTTACCTCTCTGTATCTGGTCTGTTAAATACAACACTTCATAACATTTACCTCTCTATAACTCGCCTTATGAATTCAACAGTTCATAATGTTTACCTCTCTGTAACTTGGTTTTTTGAATACAACAGTTCTTAACATTCACCTCTCTGTAACCTTGGCTGTTGAATACAACAAATCTACCATTTACCTCTCTGTAACTAAGCTGTTGAAAACAACAGTTAAAAAATTTGTAAGGGTTCCGCGGAACCCAGTGTCTCGCCTACTTTTTCTGTTAATCGCAGGCTCAACAAAAATGAGGAAGTAAATCAATAAAAATATTCCTCTTGATACTATATTTTGATTGTAAGAAGCTTCTGTCCAAGTTTGGTAAAAATCCAGGATAGTTTAATAATCTAATAAATGTTTAAAAACTTTAACTGCAGACTGAATGTAATGTTAACTGGGAGAAAACAAAATTTCCTTCTAGATACTAGCATTTGATCATAAACAAGCTTCTGTCCAAGTTTGGTACAAATCCAAAATAGTATAAGAAAGTTATTAAAATTTTAAAAACTTTAACCACAGAGTGAATGTGTTGTTTCCTGGCAGAAAATCTAAGTCCATTTAAAAGTAAAATACGGAAAAAATGGATTTATTTTTTTACAAAATTTCCTTCTAGATACTAGCTTTTGATCATAAACAAGCTTCTGTCCAAGTTTGGTACAAATCCAAATAGTATAAGAAAGTTATTAAAATTTTAAAAACTTTAACCAGAGTGAATGTGTTGTTTCCTGGCAGAAAATCTAAGTCCATTTAAAAGTAAAATACGAAAAAAATGGATTTATTTTTTTACAAAATTTCTTTCTAGATACTAGCTTTTGATCATAAACAAGCTTCTGTCCAAGTTTGGTACAAATCCAAAATAGTATAAGAAAGTTATTAAAATTTTAAAAACTTTAACCAGAGTGAATGTGTTGTTTCCTGGCAGAAAATCTAAGTCCATTTAAAAGTAAAATAAGGAAAACATGGATTTTTTTTTTACAAAATTTACTTCTAGATACTTTCTTATGATCATAAACAAGCTTCTGTCCAAGTTTGGTAGAAACCAATGATAGTATAAGAAAGTTATTAAAATTTTTAAAACTTTAACCTCAGAGTGAATGTAATATTTCCCGGCAGAAAAACTAAGTCCATTTATAAGTAAAATACCGAAAAAATGGAATTTTATTTTTACAAAATTTACTTCTGGATACTATCTTATGATCATAAACAAGCTTCTGTCCAAGTTTGGTAGAAATCCAGGATAGTTTAAGAAAGTTATTAAAATATCAAAAACTTTAACCACAGAGTGAATATTTGTGGACACCGCCGACGACAACGACGACGACGCCTCCGACGGAATGTAGGATAGCTATGTCTCGCTTTTTCGACTCGACAAAAACAGTTCATAACATTTGCCCCTCTTTTACTTTGCTGTTGAATACAACAGTTCAAAACATTTACCTCTCTGTTACTTGGCTGTTGAATACAACAGTTCATAACATTTACAGCTCTGTAACTTGGCTGTTGAATACAACAGTTCATAACATTTACCAATCTGTAACTTGGCTGTTGAATACAACAGTTCATAACGTTTACAGCTCTGTTACTCCGCTGTTGAATACAACAGTTCTTAACACTTACCTCTCTGTTATTGGGCTGTTGGATACAATAATCCATAACATTTACAGGCTTTTACAGCTTCGTAACTTGGCTGTTGAATACAACAGTTAATATCATTTACAGATCTGTAACTCCGCTGTTGAATACAGCAGTTTATAACAATTACAGCTCTGTTACTCCACTTCTGAATACAACAGTTCATAACATTTACCTCTCTGTAACTCAGCTGTTGAATATAACAGTTCATAACATTTAAAAGCTGTAGTAAAGCACTGTGTAACTGTTTTATACTTTGGTACACAAGGTGGCGAGAGGATTGGCGGTGCTATCACTGATTTAAGCTTCTTTGATCTAATTAAAAGAAAGTAAATTAACTTCAAATAAGATAATGTATGTTCTAGAGACTACAATTACTATATTTATCCTTTGTCATATTAAAATAAAATGTTCGCTGAGCGCAGCCTCGTACGACCGCAGAGGTTAAACCCTGAACAGTTGGGGCAAAAGGTTTCTGACACAGAATAACTGTAGTCAAAGAACTTAGAATTGGTTATTTGATTTGAATTTATATTCAACTTTTTGCTTTTGTGCAATACACTGTGCCTGTGCGAATTGACCCCCCACCCCCCCCAACCCCAAAAATAATAAATAAAAATAAACCCATTTTTTTTTTTTGCTTTTGTGCAATACACTATGCTGTTGCGTATTAACCCCCCTCCACCCTTTTTTTGCAAAAAAAAAATATGTGAAGAAATTTTGTTTTATTTCTGAAATCTGAAAAAAAATGCCCCCTCCCCCAATTTCTTTCTAACCCCTCCCCCCCTTTTTCCCCCAAAAAAATTCTTTCCCTCAAGATATTGTCATAATCTCAATTCAAATTACTAATGGATTTTGCAACCATAATTGCCCATTTAAATACATCATAAAATTCTTAAATAGATAATTTAAAAGCAGTGTAATGCAGGTAATCCAACATTGTACAACATTGTACAATTTTGTTTCTTGGATTACCTCCCTTACACTGCTTTTAAATTGACCATTAACCAGGAAATCCTTGTTTTTCCACCATTTTTCCACTTAATTCCTAAACGGTTTGAGCCATAACCCCCAAAGCCAATCCTAACCATCCCTTTGTGGTATGGAAACTTGTGGTATAATTTCAGAGAGATCCATACACTTAAACACAAGTTATTGTCTGGAAACTAGAAAAATGCCTTTTTGGGCCTCTTTTTGGCCCCTAACTCCTAAACTGTTAGGACCATAACCCCTAAAATCAATCCCAACCTTCCTTTTGTAATTATAAACCTTGTGTTTAAATTTCATAGATTTCTGTTTAATTATACTAAAGTTATTGTCCGGAAACCAACTGTCTTTTGGACGACGACGACATCGACGACAACGTGATACCAATATCGGTCGTATACAAATAAAATTCCTTCACATACATAATCATGGCTATAATTAAATTACCTTTATTAAACATTTTTAAGATAGTAACTTCTAATAAATTGCTTCGCCGGGCTCAGCTGGATACGACCGCAGAGGTCCAACCCTGAACAGTTGGGGCAAAAATGGACACAATATTCGCGCTTGATACAGGTCTGAATTTGGATTGTATTTAATATTTGACACATAATAGGTTTCTGACACAGAATAACTGTAGTCAAAGAACTTAGAATTGGTTATATGATTTGAATTCATATTCATTTTTTTTGCTTTTGTGCAATACATTGTACAATTTTGTTTTTGAACTACAGATGGGTGCAGTCCTGACCTGTACAAAAGTTAACTTGAAGCAGACTTGTTGACTGCTTTCCAAGTTAACTTGAGAAATTTTAAGCAGACAAGCAAGTTAACTTCGTTGTTGGTAGACAAGACCTACGGTCTGCTTTTTTAGGACTGCTGCAGACCTATTGACAGGTCTGCTGCAGACCAGACCTGTGGACAAGTCTGCTTTTGACCAGTCCTGAGGACAGGTCTGCCCAAGACCAGACCTGTGCACAGGTCTGCTCCTGACAACTTGGAGCAGACTTGTTGACTGCTTTCCAAGTTAACTTGAGAAATTTTAAGCAGACAAGCAAGTTAACTTCGTTGTTGGTAGCTATAGACAAGACCTACGGTCTGCTTTTTTAGGATTGCTGCAGACCTATTGACAGGTCTGCTACTGACCAGACCTGTGGACAAGTCTGCCACTGACCAGACCTGAGGACAGGTCTGCTTATGACAGATTACCGTGTTTAAGACTTCTGCATAAAATATAGGTTTATTGATGCAATATCCACCCGTTGATAGTATGGATCACATTTCCGACCTTACATTGATTACGTGCTACGTGTACAATGTTTCGAGTTCTATCCGAATTATATTCCAGGTAACTCTCCTCAGAGGTCGTCCGTATTGTTTTTTATTCTTTAAATGTTTATTTGTTTATTATTGTACATTTTATCTATTATTGTACGTTTTAGCAAAGTATGGATTACTGGTTTGTGTAATTAGATTTAGTTTAAGATACGTTTCAATATGCATTTTTCATTGTCAGCGCACCTTCCTTTGGTTTTAGTGTAACTGTCTAATTAATTTCTATTGGGCGACATTGATTTATTTCAAGTGTTTCTTAACGATTTCTCCAATGTTTCTGTTTGTTTGAATGCTATTGTAGGTTTTTTATCAAAGAGATTTGTGAACTGTGGGTTGTCTTGAATTATATGCCAATGTTTTCTTATAATGGTTTGTAAATTTTCCGCATTAGCGTGGTATTGTGTAATGAAAGATATATTATAGATATCTGAGTTTTTGTTTATGCGTGTTTCTTTGTTAATTTGTTTAATCTTTCTGTATGGGAAATATTTCTTAATATTTTATTCACAAAAGCGATTTTGTAACCTCTTTGTATTAATTTTTCTATAAATAAGTTTATTCTTTCATTAAAGTTGTCAAGATCAGAGGTGTTTCTAAGAATTCTTATTCCTTCACCTTTAATAAAGGACTTAAAATAGCTTTTAGCGTGGTTTGAATTTTGGTGTAGATATTGGAATTTTTCAGTTGGTTTTGTGAAACATTTAATATCTAAGATATTTTCTTTTCGAAATCTCTGTCCTTTATACGTTTCTAAGTCTAGAAATTTCAAACTTTGTCTGTCTATTTCATAAGTAAATTGCAGTAGGTTGTGGTTTGTGTTTGCTATTTCGAAAAGAAGTTTTACTTCTTCCGCAGTGCCTTGAAATAAAATATATCCATCATCTTTCATACGTTTATGAAATAATATTTTGTTTCTGTGTGGAAAAATATTTAAAATTTTATTTATATGTTGGTATATGGCTATATCTGAGATTTGAGGACTTGCTACATGTCCTTGGCTAGCTCCTTTAATTTGCCTATAACATTTTTTGTTGAAGGTAAATTCATTATTGAGGAGAATTAAGTTTGTTATTTGTAGTAAAAAATCAAAACTAGGTTTTATTATATTGTATTCTAGGTTTTCATATATCCCTGTAACACTGTTTAAAGCGTCCATAATTTCACTAAATCTTAGATTTGTGTAAAGGGAAGTGATATCATAAGTCACCAGTAGAGTATCGGTTTCTATCTTTGATTTTTCGAGTAGACGAATAAAGCTACCTGTATCAGATATGTACGTTGTTTGTGTTTTAACTATTGGTAATAGGAAGAAATCCAAATACCGTCCGATTCTTTCTAAAGGACCGTTGCATTGTGAAATGATAGGTCTTGCTGGTACTTGTATTTTAATTTCAGTTTGTTTTTTATAAATGTTTTTCAGTATTTCGTTATCCAGTTTATGGATTTTAGGCAGAAAGTAGGCAAAGGGTGTTTTTATATATTGGTTTTCGTATTTGATGTATTTAAATGTTATGTCGTCTAAGTAATTGTCTTTGTTCATGTTGTATACAATTTCATTAATTTTATTCATGGTATTTTTTATGTTGATTTCTGGTATTTCAACATAGTGGAGTCCGTCGTTTAATTGACGTTCACCCTCATCGGCGTAGTTGTTTTTATTTTGAATTACTGTTATGTTATTTTTATCTGCTTTATGGATAGTAATTGTTTTAATGTGACGTAAAGTACGTAGACATTGCGTTTCTTCTTTCGTCATGTTTTTGGTTTTATTTGGTTTATAATTTGAAAGTTCCATTTTTGTGTGGAATATGTACTGTTCTATAGGATTGTCGCCTATAATAGGAACACTAAATTTAGACTTTTCTTTTAAATGGATGATTTGGTTGCGGAATAGTTTTGTTTTCATGAAAGAAATGCTTTAATCTTAGTTTTCTTTCGAATTTTTTGAAATCTTTGAGGATATTTGTCCTAGAGATATTTTCCGTAGGTATGAAGTTCAAGCCTTTGTCCAACGTCATAATTTCTGTGTTTGTTAATTTTCTATTTGAGAGGTTTAAAACAAATTGTTTGGCATTTTTAAGGTTGTTATTTTGTTTAGCAATATTCAATTGCTGTTTTTTGTTAATGAATTTATAAGCAATTTTTTGCATTTTTGCTTTTTAGGCTGAATCGTCTGTGTTTAGACATGTTTCACAGTTAGACTGTGTGGTATCATAGATGCATGGTGGTATTCAATATAGGTATATTGATCCAATATCCACCCGTTTATAGTATGGATCACATTTCTCCCAAAACTTTTTGAATCCCCCTTTTAGCATTAACCATCAAACTCTATTGCAGTCTTTCCTTTGTAGTATGGAACCTTGTAGTACAATTTTTGGTATGATCCATACACTTAATCACAAGTTACTGCCTGGAAACTAGAAAAAGCTTTTTTTAAAATTAAAAAGCCTCCATCAGCAACATTAAATAGTAATATCTAATAAATTGCTTGGCCCAGCGCAGCTGGATACGAGCGCAGAAGTCCAACCCTGAACAGTTGGGGCAAAAATGGACACAATATTCGCGCTTGATACAGGTCTGAATTTGGATTGTAATTAAGTATTTGACACATAAAAGGTTTCTGACACAGAATAACTGTAGTCAAAGAACTTAGAATTGGTTATATGATTTGAATTTATATTCAACTTTTTGCTTTTGTGCAATACACTGCCTGTGCGAATTGACCCCCCACCCCCAAAAATAATAAATAAAAATAAACCCATTTTTTTTTTTGCTTTTGTGCAATACACTATGCTGTTGCGTATTGAGTCCCCTCCACCCTTTTTTTGCAAAAAAAAAAAAAAAAAGTGAAGAAATTTTGTTTAATTTCTGAAATTTGAAAAAATTGCTCCCTCCCCCAATTTCTTTTTACCTCCCCCCCTTTCCCCCCAAAAAAAATTCTTTCCCTCAAGATATGGTCATAATCTCAATTCAAATTACAAATGGAGTTTGCAACCATAATTACCCATTTAAATACATCATAAAAGTCTTAAATAGATAATTTAAAAGCAGTGTAATGCAGGTAATCCACCATTGTACAATTTTGTTTTTTGGATTACCTCCCTTACACTGCTTTTAAATTGTCCATTAACCAGGAAATCCTTGTTTTTCCACCATTTTTACACTTAATTCCTAAACGGTTTGAGCCATAATCCCCCAAAGCCAATCCTAACCATCCCTTTGTGGTATGGAAACTTGTGGTATAATTTCAGAGAGATCCATACACTTAAACACAAGTTATTGTCTGGAAACTAGAAAAATGCCTTTTTGGGCCTCTTTTTGGCCTCTACCTCCTAAACTGTTAGGACCATAACCCCTAAAATCAATCCCAACCTTCCTTTTCTGGTTATAAACCTTTGTGTTTAAATTTCATAGATTTCTGTTTAATTATACTAAAGTTATTGTCCGGAAACTAACTGTCTTTTGGACAACAACAACAAAGTGGTACCAATATCGGTCGTATAAAAATAAAATTCCTTCACATACATAATCATGGCTATAATTAAATTACCTTCATTAAACATTTTTAAAATAGTAACTTCTAATAAATTGCTTCGCCGGGCTCAGCTGGATACGACCGCAGAGGTCCAACCCTGAACAGTTGGGGCAAAAATGGACACAATATTCACGCTTGATACAGGTCTGAATTTGGATTGTAATTAAATATTTGACACATAATAGGTTTCTGACACAGAATAACTGTAGTCAAAGAACTTAGAATTGGTTATATGATTTGAATTTATATTCATTTTTTTGCTTTTGTGCAATTTGTGCATTCATTGTTTTCCAATATTGCTTTCATTTGTATTATACAATACATCCTGACATGAAAAAAAAAACTTCTGATTTATAATGCAGCCATATAGATTTACATACTAAAGTGCAAATATGGTCCGTTTTGGTTGATACTGTCAAATAATTTTTCTATACGAGTCAGCCTGCATTTTGCCTGAGGTATCAAAACTAATGAAATTTTGTTACATGTACCAATATATCATGTATATTGAACAAAAGGGAGGACATGCTGGGACTCTGAATTTATGCAGACAAAATTTTGTAGTTATTCATATTGTGTTCCAATATTGCTGACATTTGTAATATAAATTCAATCCTGGCATAAAATATTGCTGATTTACTATGCGGCTAAATAGATTTACGAAATAAAGTGCAAATATTGTCAGTTTTGGTTAATGCGGTCA